TGCAAAAAAACTTTATTGGGATTTTGACAGAGACTGCATTGAATCTTTAGATTGCTTTGGGTAGTACTGACATCTTGGTAAAGATATTAGAAGCCATGGCCTTAGGCCAGGGAAGAGCAAGGTTTATGAGTAATGATCTGTATAGAACTGATGGGAAGCTGTGAGGAGGGCCCTTAGGGACTTCCAGGCAGGCAAACGTTAGAGCCTGGATGAATCAGGGTTCTGTGGTTTCCAACGACACCAGCTGTCTGTGCTCAGCCCCCCTCAGCTGTGCCATCTGCCTCCAAGGAGCCATAGCACATCTGAAAGAGGAGAAATGGCTGAGCGAAATGCTGGTGGTTGGGTCCTCCCATCTAGACAGACATAGTAGCATGCAGGGACAAAACAGAAGAGAAGGGTGGGCAGAGGTACTGATAATCTGCCTGAATCTGCATAGCACATATAGTAGATGCGATTTTCAAAATTGTTATCTTACGTTTGTAGGTAGCATTAATTAAAAAGCTGTAGGACTGAGGGCTTCATTTCTTTGATTGTGATTCTCGCCAATCAGTAATGAAGAGTTTCTTCCCCAATGAACCCTTGACATGTTTTGAATCTCTCAGACTTCCTAGTTCTCTGACCTTCAAACCCAGATTTAAAGGGCCCATGTGATTGGGTCAGTATACCTGGATAGTCTCCCCATTTTAAGGTTGATTTAATTGCATATGAAAAATCCCTTTTGCCATATAATGTAACATAATTATGAAATTAGAAACCATAAGAAAGCTGAGTGACTATATTAACAACAGATGAAATAGACACGACACTTTGAGACAAAAAATGTTACCAGAGGTAAAGAGGGATATCTGATAGTGATGGAAGGGTTAACCCATCAGGATGATATGCCAATTATAAACACATATGCATTGAACAGAGCCCCCAAATACAGAAGCAACAACTGACACAATTGAAGGGAGAAACAGATGATTCAACAATAGTAGCTGAAGACTTCAATACCACACTTTCCATGACGGATAGAACGAAGCAGGAGATCACAAGGAAATAAAAGATTTAAACAACACACCCTAACAGACATCTATAGAACGCGCCACCCAGCAAGAGCAGAATAGACTTTCTCTCAGGTAGACATGGAACATCTGTAGGATAAACCATATACTCCCTAGTCCTGAAAATAAGCCTCAATAAATTTAAAAGGACTAAATATAAAAGGACTAAATCATATAAAGGTTTCAGACATCTTACAAATAGTATTACACAGTATAGTTGCAGGATGGCAGGTGGGGCAGGCATTTTTTCTGGCCCTCCCTTCTTCACTTTATCATTGAATGTTCAGTGGCACATGTGGAGGTGACCATGGTGACCAGCAGCTGAAGAGAAAAGAGAGAGATTCCAGGGGAGTGTCCCTAGTCTCAGGCTTACAAACCAGGGAGGAATTGATTTGTAGGAAGTAAGGAGGTATATCAGAGCGGATCACATTCTCTCCAGCCTTTCTGTTCCTCTCTTTAAAACCTCGGCTTCTGTGCCACTAAACCCTATTTCACAGGAATGCTATGGGTCACTAACCACCACCACAGACCCATGACCTTGACTTTTACCATGCTCTATCTAAGAATACACCTTCAGGTCAATGCTTTGGCTCAACACAAACTGTCAATCAGTGTTCCATAAATATTGCTTCAAACATAAACAACCATAACAGTTTATAAGTCATTCCAGATTAGGTGGCCACTACACGTATTCAAAGAGATATATATAAACTATTTCGATGACTGACAAATTCTCCAGAGATTTTGTGGAGCTAGAATGAAATGCATAAGTGGCAAGCACAAAATATGTAGAGACTAAAACACAAAGAAATCCACACATACAAAAGAAAGGTAGGGGTTAGGAGGTAGAAGTGTCAAACTTGATTGCAAGTTTAAGTTTGATAAAAAGCTATGTTACAACACCAAGGTCAAGGGTTTGCAGCTCTGTACCAGCCAGCCGCAAAAATATAAATAAAAAAGCCAACATGCTTCCTCAGTAGGGGAAAAGACACTCATATAACACTGATCTGCATTAAGAAGAATATTAAGACACAGGACCAAATTCCTTATAAATTAATTATTCACACACTGAGCAGAATATCATACTCCAGTTTTTTTCTTATAATATTAAAATGGTGTGGAAATGACTGGAGAAGAACCAAAGAAGAACACCAAGACTATGTAAAC